CTACCTAAGGTTGGTTCAAGGCTGAAAAATTGCTACCATTCCCAAAGCAGAATTTTTCCATTGTGCTCTCCTTTTGTAGTAGTGTCTTTAGTTTTCTTTGTAATTTCCATTTATATGGGGGATTGTTGGATATTTTTTTTTAATTTAAATGGAAATTATTTTAGTTTTGGTTGGTTAATAGTTTTCTTTTGGTTGACAGTTTTTGTGTCAGTTTCTTTTTAACTGTTTTGGCACCTATTTATACTGCATTTTCCCTCCTTAATTGTGTGTGTTTTTCCCTCCATTTTGTACACATCATTCTCTTCTCTGCATTTCTGCATTCTGTTTTGGTTGTTGTCCTATTGTGAAAGGAGAGTTGCACATAATCAAGTTCGAAGGACTTCACATATAGGTGCTGCCATTGACGAAGGTACATATACGTTGTTGTATCCTGGGAGACAGTGGCGGATCCAGGAAGTTTATACATTGGGGTCACTTAAACTAAGAAGTACCAACACATCAATCATTATAATTAATAATACGTGATTACATAAGTTGATTTCTACGAGTTTTCATCATTTGAAAATGAGTCATTACATCTTGATTTGTAACCTTAGCAAGTACTTCTTTTTCTACGGCACAAATGACACGCATTCAAAAAATCGTCACAAATTCGATTGCACAAAGCTAGCTTCACAAGCTTCATTATAGAAAAGCATCTCTCGACTGTTGCGGTTGCAACATGCAAAACTAATGCAAGCTTCAATAATCGATAAACCAAAGGAAACACAAGATGTTTCCTTGTTTCAATCATCACTCTACCAAGCTCGGATATACATTTCATATTAGCAAATAATTCATCATGTTGGACATTGTCAATGTATAGTTGAAGTTGGTGCTCAAGAATAGTTCTTTGTTCATTGCTAAAATCATTAGGATAAAACTCTGTTAACCTTGGTAATTTTGATGGGTCTAAGTCACAAAATGAGTAATGAGGATCCAAAGCGGCCATACAAGTGAGCAATTCGGAACTTACCTCATCAAATATGTCACCAAACTCTTGAATTTGCATATCCGTAACCTTGTTAAAACATTTGTACTCGTAATAATGTCGATATGTGATATTTGTCTTGTGTCTTCGATTTTTTGGATTGACATAAACTTCCTCCATGTTTACTGTTTCGATGTTGTGTTTTTTGCAAAAAGAATAGATCTTCTCAGGAAGCCGATAAAATCCATCAACTCTAAATTGTTGCAATTGTCACTTAGTTGACTTCACCGATGAAACAACATTCAAGATGTCTTGATCTTTTTTCTGAAGAGCCTGTGACAAAGATTCTGTGACCCCCAAAATATGCAACATCAAGTGCAAATAAAACACACTATCAAACGATTGGAAATATGTTTAAAGACCATTTGTTTGACGTTGGCTGTAAGGATTCTCGCACACATCTTCAACATACTGAAGCACCTCAATAAAAGATGGAAACAAATCAACCAAACGCTCAAGTGTTTTGTAGTATGAAACCCATCGTGTATCTCCAGGTCTTCCAAGAGAAAGCTCTTGATTAAACCCACTACCTGTTTCAGTTTCACCGCTACCAATAACTTCTTGTACTTTCTCCTTTTGACTTTCTCGAACCATATATGTTCGCTTACAAGAAGCACAAACCACATTCATCACAAATGCTATCATGTCAAAGAATTTTCCAGTCTTGATGTGTTTATGTGCAATTGTCACAACAACTAACTGAAGTTGGTGAGCAAAACAATGAACATAATATGTTGAGCTATTTTCTCTCATGATTAAAGCTTTCAAACCATTGAATTGGCCACACATATTGCTTGCTCCATTATAACCTTAGCCCCTAACTTTTTTCAAACTCAAATCATGTTCAACAAATAAGAATTCAATCGCAAATTTAAGAGATAAAGCATTTGTGTCCTTTACATGTACAAGACCAATAAATCTTTCCTTAACAATCCTATATGTAACATATCGCAAAACCACGGTCATTTGTTCCTTTTTAGATATGTTACTTGACTCGTCAACTAATAAGGAAAACACATCATCACTAATCTCTTGGAAAATATGTTCTGAGTACCGCTTATGCAAAGCAGTGAACGATATCTTTTTGAATACTTGGCACCACCATTAGATTATTCCCAGGAGCATTTTTCTAATATAACTTTACCGACAGCCTCATTTTGATCCCGGATTAATTTTATTAATTCTAAGAAATTTCCCCTATGAAGAGACGTTTCTGACTCATCATGACCACGAAAAGGTAATGCACCATTCAACAAAAATCTAGCAGTATCAACAGAAGCATTCAACTGGATACAAGATTCATTCTTCTGAATATCACTTTGTTTATGTAAAGGCGACGACAATTGATTGACCATGTCTCATTAGGTCCTTACATTTCTTAACAACTCTATTGTGGAAACTATTAATGTGGCCCAAATGAGTAGTCAATCTCTCGGTTTTATTCCAACTACTAAAGTCTTCGGTTAAAAAAGCATCACTCCCACCTTGTCCACCACATTGATCTCTAAATAAGTAACAATATAAGCAAAAAGCTTGATCTACTTTTAAACTATACTCCAACCAATTACCGTATTGATCAAACCAAGCCGGGTTAAAACGTCTTGCCTTGTTCCCAACAATTTATTCTTGGAAAGTCGTGACCACGTGGTTGACACGGTCCTTTAATCAAATAGTTTCGTCTGATTTCATCTATTTGATTAGGGTGGTATTGTAAAATTCTTTTCCTTTCAGCTGAATCCGATGGAATATTATTCAAATCAACTTCCCTAGGCATCGAGGGAAGATCATTGCCCAAGTTGTTTCCACTTAAAAGTTCTCCACTATTATCGAACGTTGATGCCTTTCTTTTCAGAAATCTTTCCATCTTCTAGCAAAAACAAGGGGACAAATACATCATATATATATATATATATATATATATACACAAATTAAATAGAAACAAAGGAAGTCTTATATGAACATGGGGATGGAAATTACAAATACAAATTAAATAGCAAATGAGCATCTATTAAATATTAATATTTGTCCACTCTACCTACTCATATTAATATTTAATAGTTTACTAAAAGCTTAAAAAGCCTCAATTGTCTACCTACTATTTACAGTTTACCAAAAGCTTAAAAAACCCCAATTTTCTCTAATGAAGCAGACCTGCACAAGGCAAAAACTTAAAAAGCAGAAGCCAAAAAGTAAGCAGAAATGGAGTAAACAGAAGCAGAAAGCAGTAAACCAAAAAGTAAGTGATAACATTTGTTTTCATCTAAGGTCTTCAAATATCTTTTAAAGTATATGGATCATATGGATGTAGTATTGGGCTGCTGGGCAATTATCTAGAATTTACTTCACATTTAATGGGATTCCACAATGCCACAATGGCATATGATATTCTATTATGGTTATCTTTAACTACTCTTCTGTGACTACTCTTTTGATTTTTTGTTGCTATATTATTTGTATTTTGTAGTAAGATGTAAGCAGAGCTACAGTAGAAGCAGTAAACCAAAACCAAAAGCTTAAGCAGACAAGCAGTAAGCAAAAATCTTGATTGTTTTGCACTTTTGTTTTTGCTCGACTAAAAAATGGAAAGCATAAGCAGACTAAAAAAATGGAAAGCAGTAAGCTGTAAGCAGTAGCAGTAAATGAAAACCAAAAGCTTAAGTAGACAAGACAAGCAGTAAGCAAAAATCTTGATTTTTTTTGCACTTTTGTTGTTGCTCGACTAAAAAATGGAGAGCAGAAGAAGACTAAAAATGGAAAGCACTCAAAGCAGTAAGCAGAAGCAGTAAGCAAAAGCAGTAAGCAGAAGTAGTAAGCAAAAATCAAAAATGAATGGTGTTGTCGCCTGTTGTGCTGAATGGCTCGAACTCGAAGAAATGAAGCACTAAGCACTAAGCAGAAATGGAGAAATGAAGCAGTAAATCAAAAAGAAACCTGGTATGCGGTCTGCCGGAGAATAGTGCCGGAATGGGGACCGTGAAATTTGAAATCACGGGCAACTAGTTCGGGACCCCTGTAAAAATCTAATGGGGGATGTGAAAGGTACTAATGTAAAATCCTAAATTTTAACCTAGGTAATTTTTTTTAACTTTTTGACTGGGGTTCCTCCCCCCCCCCCCTTACCCACTGTGTCCGCCACTGCTAGGAGACATATCATCATTTGATTCCGTTAGCAAATACGAGACGATTTTGTCTTAAGGAGAGAGATCTAAATCTCGACTCAACGTTCAATTCATTATTATTTATAATCCATACATGTATCGTTTATGTTTATGTTTTGATAAAGTGAATATAAGTCCTAATAAATCTATGGTTTTGAAGAACACAACAATGGATAACGAACGTAGATGAAGTCCTACACAAGTGGAAAACAAATGAATATGAAGAACGAATCCAACAGATTGTGCATCATCCTTGATACGTCTGTGGGCTTCAATGGATTCAAACAATGGTTTTTCTTGTTTTTATCTAGATTTAGATTCTGATTTATTTTTGATTTTAGGGTTTTTCTTGTTTGCTTTTATTATAGATTTAGTTTGTGAATTAGGGTTTCAATGTTCTTAAATTATCGATTTTGTGTTTAGATTTGTGATTGAGATTTTTAATCACAATTCTATGTTTGGATTTGATTCAAGGATTGATTTGTGGATGTTCTATAGAATTATTATTTATTTTGTATTTGGATATGTGTTCAAATTTAATTTGAATTTATTTAAATATGGCCTGAATTTTGTTAAATCTAAATTTCATAAATTTTGGTTCATGAAATTAGGAAGAAAGAGATGTGATGGAGTCTAGACTAACGAAGTTAATTTGAGGGACTTATTTGGGCTCTGAAGCATAATTTTGGACCACCGATGCATTTTATGATCTCGAGGGATGAAAACTAAAAAAAAGGTATTCACAACGGACCAAATATGTAATTCATTCAAAAATTAATCAAAATCCAAATTCTCCGATTTGTAGAAATCTAATGGAAGATATTCTAAAAAACTAATGATAATTACGCATTTATGTTTTAATAATTGTGAAAATCTATTTTTGGGACTAGGAAGGCATAATTGATGGTGAAGATGGAAACCGGCAAGTTAGTGGTGGCGAGAGTAGACGGCAAGTCAACCGTAACTCGATGCTTCTCTCAGTATCCTCTCAAGTTCATCGTTCCCACTAAGGTAAACCATTAAACCCAATCCATTTCAATATTAAATTCTTCTACACTTCAGCTTTCATACAGATTTTATTTGATATTGTAGGCAGGGCGATCCGAAGCTGATGCGGTTTGGATCTACGCTCTCACTTATGGTGGTGGTATTGTTTCTGTAAGCATTCCGTTTAATCGATGATTAGGGTTTAGTAAAAATTGATTGTTTTGTATTGTATCTGATTGATTTTTCTTACACTGTATGATGTGTGATTTAGGGCGATTGTATTTCGTTTGACCTAACCATTGATGATGGATGCACTGCTGTTTTGACAACTCAGGCATCTACTAAGGTCGATCTCCTTCTTAGATATTTGATAGCATACCATGTGTTTGCTTTTATGCTTTACTCACCGTAGTTTGTAAAAATTACAACAATTCCGTTTTTGATGTCTCATTCATTGAGATGATTATTGATGGTTACTAGTTGTATATTTTGATGGTTACTGATTATTAATGGTATTGAGTAGTAGTGGGCCACATTTGTAAAAGTTATTCCTTTATGAGAAGTGACCATTGAGTCCTTCACCATTTGTGGAATTTTGTATTCTGTTCTTTTGGGTTGGGGTGACGCACCCTGTGCATCTTTGACCATGTTTCTAAACTAGTAGTATCTGAACATGGATACGGAATGGACAATTTTTGGTATCTCCCTTTTTTGGAATCCCCAAACCCCAGTAAACATATTCTTGCAACATAGATATTAGTTACTCCCAGAACTGCATTAAGAATGTTTTTTTTGAAGTTTATAATATTTAAAACAAATAAACTCACACACTATTCTCACTTATGGTGAGGTTTGAACCCCTGACCACCTTCGAAACCAAAGGCTTGGATCTGTTAGGCCAAAGGCGCTTTGATGGAAATGTGCTTATGATAAGGAATGACCTGACAACTTCTGTGGACACCTTTTTCAGTTACAATCGACCCAAATGACGTTATTTGGGTATAGTCTGAACAAAATGTTTAGTAGCGTATGGATGATTACTCACTTTTAAGAATCACTTATTGCATTATATTTAAGCAAACATCGTTAGTCATTCCCATTTCCTTTCTCATTTTTCACACCCTAATACCCCCAACCAACTGACCAAGCACCCAATCATATCGAAGGTAGTCAGTAGTAATAAGCAAGTATGGTGTCTTAAAACTATCATTATTTTCATGTTTGTATTTTGAAAAATAGTTGTGTAGACTTTGACCACATAAGTCAAAGACAAAATCCGTTTTGAAATACAAGGAGCTTTTGTTGGTGTGATATGTTATTGACTTTGCTAGATTGCTCAAATGATGTTGATTGGTATTTCCTCAATCTCTAATGAATTTCAAATGGATGTATAGGTGTACAAATCGGTTGCCTTGAAGTGTTCTAAGCAAACAATGGAGGTAAGAAAGTGAAAAGTTTTTAACTTGTGCCCTGAAACTTCTAGAATTGGTACATGTTAGTTCTATATATTTATCTACATTGTACTCCCCTCCCATGAAAGAACATCATTTTCTATTGGCTAAGCTTTAAGCTAAAGTTACCTATTTGTCCAATTTCTTCCTTACGTTGATGCTATTGATTTTGGTTTAGCAGATTCATGTCTTTTATTATTAGTGAAGCCATGAAGGGTATTTTAGACGTTCAATCGATGGTCATGATTCTATTAAACCACTTGACTAGCCAAACATTTCAATTTTAATGGGACGAAGTGCGTTTATTACAATGACGAGTTCAATTATTATTTTCACACACCTGCATTCTAAAATGTTTGAAATACCGGTATTTATTGATGGACATAATTTCATTACATCATACGGACATCAAGTGTAAAGTCGAAATCGGTAACATATGAGAAGCAAAATTGCTTCAAAATATCAATTTTAACATATGATCATAGTTGATGTTGACACTGAAAACTCTTATTAATAATCTTAGAGAATGTTGAGAATGGTTCTCACCAACGAGATGTTGAGAAGAATCGAAAAGGGACCCACAAAACATAGAACAAAGTTTAATGGTTTAAAATAATACGATCTTTGCTTTCACTATTTTTCCCTTGTGAAAATTTGTTAACAAGGCTGTTATTTTCAATGTAGTAGGCAAGAATAGGGAATGATGCCCTTATGGTTGTCATTCCAGATCCAGTGACTTGTTTTTCTACCGCAAGGTACTCCCAAAAGCAAGTGTTCAGAATCGTGTCTGGCTCAAGCTTACTTCTTGTTGATTGGATCACTAGCGGGCGTCACGAAAGTGGAGAAAAATGGGATTTCGGACTTTATAAGAGCACCAACCATATATATTTGGAAAGCAAACCTTTGTTTCTTGATACAGTATGTTTTCTCTTCAATCTTCTTGTTTTAGGCCAGTGATTGCTTCATATTTTGTATGGAAAATTGTTTCTTCAACCCTTTTACTATTGATTATTGAGTAAACTGTTTTTGGGCATTCTGCTGTTAGATTCATCTTTTGTGGACATTTTTATCTTATGTTACTGTCACTCTGTACCTACTGGTCCCACTGCCTATTAAATAATGGACAGTTCTTCACAGATTTGTCCTTGGTGAGCATTAGTGTAAGATTACTTTAATAAAGCTCAACCGATTTAGTGGGCCGTTTACCAAATGCTTACCATGCATCACTTACTTTACCGAGTGAGTATGAGAAAGACCGAGAATCTTACCCGGTAAGAGGGGGAGAAGACTCTGACCTGGTTGGTGCTTACCAGATAAGAGACGCTTCCATCAATCCATTTGATGGCCGAGAATGTTACCTGATAAGGTAAATGAGGGTGGTGACTCTTGCCTGTAAGTGCTTACTGTGTGCGCTTACCTGGTAAGCATTTGGTAAAAAAACTCCTTAGTTACTTTCTTTTTGGGAAAATCACTAATCAAGCCATTTTTTGCTAAAAAATGCACCAAATAGACGGTAAATCCACAAATTGGCTTAGCAAATTTGCAGATCTAATTTTTCAGACATTTTTGGCCGAAAAGCTGCAGATTTGCTTTCTGGGCGATATTTGCAGAGATTTGCGGATTTACCTGCTATTTCGTGATAATGTTTAAGAAATGCCTATTTGGTGAGTTTTTAGGCAAAATTAGCTAGTTTGGTGATTTCCCCCATTTTTGGCTGGAAAGGACTCATGTGAAGAAGTTGATAGAAACATAACGTAAAGTGGCCAAATAGATCATTCTCATAGTACAATGCCATATGTTCATTGAAGTCGCTTAACTTGTTATTCGATGTTGGGAAGTCCTGAATTTTCTCATACCATTTTGTATAACGGTTCATGTCAATGCAGGTACTACTTGAGCACGAAAGTGCTACGAGTATTGCTGAACGGATGCAGTGTTACCAAGTAATTGCAATGGTTATTCTACTGGGGTAGGATCCTATGCATTGAACCCATAATTTTTTTGACATTTGAGATACTATTCTTGTGTTTGCTTTTAGAGATGCACCGTGTTCAGAAAGCAAAGAAAAGAGCCTAGGCTTTTTCGGGCTTTTTGTGCATCTCTATTTGCGTTCTTATAATAATATGAAGCTATAAAAATCAGGTTTTGTATGATTCTGTTTTTAGGCCCAAGTTGAAGCACATACAAGACCAAGTTCAAGAAGATGTGAAGAAGATGATGATGGAGCAATTACACATGCCATCACGCACGAAAGCATGTAATAGTGACAGATATACAAAACCATCCCTTATCGCTTCTTGTAACCCCTTTGGTCCAAAGGTATTTACCATTTTCTTCTTTATGTAACTTAACCGGCAAACAAAGGCTAGGCCTTGGGCTCCTTCCATAGTTAGCCAGTTTGAGTCTCCCCAGGGTTTTGAGCTCTAGGCCACTGGGGATTTTCTTTGTTGTTATCTTGAGGGACCCATGGGATTGGTGGAGGTGTCCGCAAGCTAGCCCCGCCTTGGATACCCACGGTTACCTAATAATAACTTAGACACTGCCAAAGAAAGCATTGCTTAGAATTTGGAATGCAATCATATCTACTAAGCATCAATCTACAATACAATAAACAAACAATAATTTAGCTTAGTCCATACATACAACTTAATTCATAATTCATACTCTGAATTTGATCCATATATATTTGTTGTTTGTACAACTGTTGTGTAGGGAGTTGGTGTTGTCATCAGAATAGCTGCCACAACAACTGAATCAGTTTATAGGTTCCTTCAACACCAATTGGCTGGTTTGGAACCAATGCTTGGTTTGTGCCCCTACCAATAGTAACTCCACTATTATTTGTTTTCTAGTTATTATTTCCTCATATTTTCACCAATTTAAAAACTATAATTGTACATGTATCAATAGTATACATTTTTATTTGGATATAATCATTTTAAACAACAAATGAGTTATAATAATGCCTATTGATTTGATCATATCATAATTTGTTGATATGTGTTTCTTTAAGGTGCATTTGATGTGATAGAACGAAAACTTGTTATCTCACATTTGGTGCAATATTTAGATCGGGACAAGACGGGACTGAGGGGGACAAAACCGAAATGGGTGAAACATAAATTAGTAAGATGGAGGGATTGGTAAATTACTAAACTAGTCATGTCCGACTAAAATCCTAAAGGCTTGCAATATTCTTTCATCCTTCTATTCTACTCGCAGCTCGTCCAATATCCCATCCTGGCCGGGCGCTTTCAGTCTTGTGAACATACCAAATGCAACTTTAATATACTACTTGATGCTAAATTAAAACCCGAAAATCATGTACTATTATACCACATCTACCTCCATCTCATTTGTCCAGTCATGTCTAGTCTCCTATGCGTATTAGATGCACCATTATAGAATAAATTGAAGTTGGAATCCTAAAATGAAGAATCGAGAGGGATATTGACATAAATGAATAAAACCTTAGATACCCTTTGTAAGGATACCCGAGTTCTATTGCATGAGGTCTTGCAGACTTTTGTGTTGTAGAAACGTCTTTAAGGTTTTAAGAAACTTGTATAACAGTCGCACAAGATGTTCAATCTCATCAGAAGGTCATTTAATTAGAATTTCATTTAAAGTTATATACTTAAATATATCCTTAAAATATTTCTTTGATGAATGGTAACGAAAAAGTTTTCCATATATCATTTTAAGGCTTTACACATGAACACCCTTTGTTCGGACTTGGTATCATTTAAGACGACAATTTTTATGACACCATTGGAAAAGTTTTTATTATCTTGCCAAACATTCACGGCAAGACATGAGACCTTCAAATCAAAAAACACTGAACTTTCATAGCAACACATTGAACCTTTACATGAAAAAAACGAACATTTACATAAAAAAATACATAATCTTTACAAGAAAAATATGAAAATACAACAAATATCTACGGTATAAACACACCGAACTTTTATAGTGTGTATCACGGTCTAAATAAATGTGGTTGGTTTCCAAACCTTTTTAGCGTTGCTATATTATTCTTTAATCGAAGTTTTAAGTTATTTTTCATATCATTTAGGTATATAATATTGAAGAAGACTTAATTAGATCTATGGTCTTAACATCTGGTTTTGAACATGGTGGTTTTAATCTATGGTCTTAACATCTGGTTTGAACATGGTGGTTTTAACCTATGGTCTTAACATCTGGTTTTGAACATGGTGGTTTTAACCTATGGTCTTAACATCTGATTTTAAACATGGTAGTTTTAATCTATGGTCTTAACATTTGGTTTTGAACAATGGTGGTTCTATTGTTGAGCACATCTTCATATGGTTAGGTTGATTTTTGAAATCTTTCAAAATAAATTATTCTCATACCGATCATAAATCAACTTAGGGGTGTCTTTGATTTCAACTTAACAAGTTTAATGGATGATTAACTTAACTAAATGTTTGATTTAACTTAATACTGAGATGTTTGTTTTTAGGAGGTGTTGGTTCCAAAGTCTTATTTCACTTTTTATTGATACAATGTGGTACCAAATCTGAAAACAGAATCAATAAGACTGTTTGTTTTAATAAACTTATAAATGTCTGAATATATGTAATTATCTACTTTACGTCTTAGAATATTATAATGTTGAATTTATGTAAAATAAAATTACTTTTACTCATAATATTTAAAATATTATCAAATAATAAAATAAAACATTAAAATCGAGATGTATTTCGTTACATTGCACGAATACTCTTCTAGTTAATAATAATAGATGTGAAAATGTGTTGGAAAAATGATCGAAACATTCCAAACAAAAATCTTGTTTGCTCAACAACTTCCATGTGTTTTATCGTTAATTGTTATCGAAATGATTTAAATATATTAAGGGTATTATTAACCATTTGACAAAATAAACGAGTTATAAGTCAAAATTTATATCTTTGTTTTTTATAATAGTTACATTTATAATGAAATTCTATACAAAATAAATATGACACTTATTTACCAAAAAGAAAGCATATTTTTAATTTAATTTAAAATAAAATGATTTTATTATGAAAACACACACACACATATATATTGTTTGGTTTGTTGAAATAACAAATGGTGGTGGGGTGGATATGGTAACGGTGCCAATGGTAGTGGTGGTGGCAGTGGTGGCGATGATTGTGGTGAATAGGAGGTGGTGGCGACAGCAATGGTGACGACGGTGTTGGTAGTGACAATAGGGGGAGAAGGTTGAAGGTGAAAATGGTAGTGACGGTGTTGGCGATGGCAGGGAGGGCGACGAAGGTGGTGATGGCAACAGTAGTGACAACCATCATGGTGGGATTGAATAGAATGGAGTAAATATATAGTATAATAGCTTTTCTTAACAAATGGGATAGATGAATTGCAATTCCTTGCTATAATCCAAGGAATTTACATTCCACCATATGTGGAATTTAGATTCCTCACCAAAACTCAAAGAATGAACCAAACATATTACTGGAATTTGCTCAATGGAATTAACCATTCCAATTTTTTCAAATTTCCTCGGATTCCAATGAACCAAACGCCAACTTAGTAGGTACAATACTTAAAAGAAAAAATTAGGGTAATCTTATATGTACCCCCTTTAATGTCTGAATCAACTTTTGTCTTTTGTGGGTTCAAACTCAACATGGCTGGCAATTTTGAAGGCTTTTTCCATATACAAGGTAAAAATGTTGATCTTCTGTCTTTTTGTAAGAAAAAAGTAGGAAATGGCTCGAATACTTCTTTTTGGCATACTACTTGGTTGGGAGTGGGCCTTTAAAAATGAATACCTGAGAGTGTGAGTTTTGGAGCTTGATAAAGAGGTTACGGTCAAAGAGCAGGTAATGAATGACGATTAGTTTGGTTTCGAAGGGAGATGAGGGAGGATCAGAATTGGCGCAATTTTCTGCCTTGAGGGATAAGTTTGCAGTCAATTGTGGTTTCTAATCAGAAGGATCAGTGGGTGTGGTCTTTGGATGTATTAGGTTCTTTTACCATTGACTCAACTAGGAATTACATTAATTCCAAATTGTTGGTTGTAGACTCAATAAATATTAGATGGAACCGATTAGTTCCTATTAAGGTCAATGTTTTATTTGGTGTTTGGGTTTGAATAAGATAGCCACTCGGGATAATTTGGATAGGAGAGGGATTAATGTTGGCTCATTTCTTTGTCCTCTATGTGATATGGGTTCGGAGTCAGGAGATCATTTGTTTTTCTCATGCTCTTTGGTGATGGAGATTTGGAGACAAATTGGTAGATGGTGGCATTTGGATATCTCGGTGTTTAGTTCCTATGCGGCTTGCATTACATGGTTTTCTAATTTGCGGTTGAAGCGGGGAGAACTTGTGCTTTGAGGCAGTTGTTTTTTCAATATGCTTTGGTACATATAGTCGTTCCGGAACGTGACCATTTTTGGGTAAACCAAGCTAAAGAAGACGAATATCTTTGATAGGATTGTGACTCGGCCTTTTTTAGGTTTATAATAGGAGTAACACGTTTAAAATTAAATGGATGGGTTGGCTTCAAAACCCTCTCCAGGCTATTTTCTATATGTAATTGTTTGTTCTAGCACCTTGCTAGTTTTTAATAAAATCTCGTAGTTGTTAGAAAAAATGTCTGAATCAAGTCAAATCATAGTCTTGATGTTGATGTCTATAAGTAGGAAATTGAAAATAGAGATTCATTTAATTGGGTTGAATAGGTTGTTAGGTTGATTGAACCAATGTAACAATCCTATGTCTTAACATGTGTGACTCTTTGTGCACTTGTTGCATTTATGTGTTTTGATGATTTTACAAACACTTTCTTAGTATTAACGACTTATCTGGTGTGAATTGTAGGTTTATTATTATTTGAGAATTCACAACATTTGCATTTCCAAAGCTGGTAATCTAGCACGGGACAATATGTAAAACATTATGAGGCATGAAAAAGTGTAACATCCAACTTTCTAAACCTTCTTAAATATAGTGTTTAAAAGAGAATTATGTGTAATACTTGGATAATGTGCTATTTATGTGTAAATGACATGTTGGAATTTGCTAAGTTTGAGTAATAGGGTATATAAGATGGCCCATAGGTAGGATGATTTTGGGGACAAGTGGCTATTATCAACACCTCAGAAATAAGTTGATTAGATGGTGTAAAAGTTGAAAATGCAAAGTATGTTGTTATTTTGGAAAATGGACATGTAAGTACAATGCCTAAATGGGAAATAACAACCCAAATCTTGATAGAAAGGACCAAATTATGATGTAAAGCTTGGAACACTCCTAAGTTGGTTATTATGAAGTGTTAGAAGTGATGGAAGTCGAAAAAGTTGAATCGTTTGAGTTTTATGAAAATACATTGCTAATTCGGTAAATTTGCAAACTATACTCAAAGAAGAGGGTTGTAATAGGAGTTTGGGCTTGAATTTTTAGAATTATACTTTTTAGGAAAATATGAGAGGATTTGAAAAGTTTCATGTCAAACGGAGCTAAAAAAAGGGCCAGAAACGTCAACATCTAAGTTATGGATACGTAAAACTGCTTTTTTAGAGACCTTTTATGGAATATTTTTGTCGAAAGTTATAAATTATCTTATTACGAACGCATAGGAGAAAGCTTCATTGAAAACAGAGGTCCGAATGAAAATTTATGATTTTTTTTAGCGTTTGGTGGTCAAATGAGCCCCCACCCGGGTCAAACCAGGCCCGAATCGGGTGTTAGTGAAAAAGAGACGGGATTTAAGGTCTTTTTTTTTACCATTTTCAGTTCAAGAAACTTCTACACCTACTAAAGGTGAGATTTTCACACACTTGGGCTTGAACCTTTCAATTCTTGATGATTTGGAGATTAAAATGTTAGATTTTTGAAGAATATGTGATAATTATCAAAGGTATGCTTCTAATGTCAAGTTTATTCAATGTAATTAGTGATAATCAAGAAGGTTAGGGTTTGCATTTGAAGGATTATAAAAAG